GCCTGTTTCCTACTGTTTTTCTCTTTCAGGTTCTTTCTTTTCCTTTACCTCCCTGTTTCCTTTCCAGTATCCTGGTTCCTGTAGTTATGTCTAGTTACATACTCACAAACTCATCAGAATCTGGTTCTAGGATCCACATATGAGGGAGAACATATGTCAGTTTTTTTTCTGAGTCTGTGTTACTTCACTTAGTATAACAGTTTCTAGTTCCATCCATTTACCTGCAAATTTCATGATTTCATCTTTCTTTACTGCGGAGTAAAACTCCATTGTATAAATGAACCACATTTTCATTATCCACTCGTCAATTGAGGGAAACTTAGGTGGCTTCCATCTCTTAGCTAATGTGAAAAGAGCAGTAACAAACATGGATATTCTGTGTCTCTGCGATAGGATGAGTTCTTTGGGTATATGCCAAGGAGTGGTATAACTGGGTCAAATGGTAGGTTCATTTGTAGTTTTTTAAGAGTTCTCCACACTGCTTTCCATAGGGGTTGAACCAGTTTGCAGCCCCACCAGCAGTGGATGAGTGTTCCCCTTTCCCCACATCCTCTCCAAAATTTGGTATCATTTGTTCTCTTGATCTTAGCCAGTCTGACTGGGGTAAGATGAAATCTTAAAGTGGTTTTAATTTGCATTTCCCTGATTATTAGTGATGTTGAACATCTTTTAAGATGTTTCATAGCCATCTTTACTTCTTCTTTTGAGAACTCTCTGTTCAGCTCCTTAGCCCATTCTTTTAATTGGGTTGCTTTTTGTCTTGGATATAATTCTTTTACATTATGAAGTTTACTAATATGCACAAAATGCATGAAGGAAATTGTATAATACAGTGATCCTCATCTGCTTAGGTCCTAGAATCCATAATAATTAATATATTGTCTGTCATATTTACAACATTGTCCTTTTTTGGTTTTTGTTTTGTTTTTTTTGTTTTTTTTTTTGAGATGAGGTCTCCTTGTAGCCCCAGCTGACCTGGAACTACATAGCCCCAGCTATGTAGACTAGGCTGGCCTCCATCTTACAGAGATCTACCTGCCTCTGCCTCCTAAGTTCTGGGATTAGACATTCCACCATGCCTGGCTATTTTCCTTTTTTTTTAACCTTGCAAATTGTGGACACTTTTTCTGTATATTCCACCATAAGTACCCCAAAAGGAAGACATTTTTAATGTAACTGTACTATCAGTAACAAAATTAATAATTAATGTTTTCTAATCTCTTGTTCATAATCATACAACCATTTTATCTCTCCTTTTGTAACTGGTTTAAGATCTAAGTAAAATTCGTGGTTGTTTGTCACCTCTCTTGAGTTTCTTAATCGAGATCTTTTTTTCACACATTCTATGCAAGTATCCAGTTTGATAGGTGTAGTGCCTCACACTGCAGGAAGCCTCACGACCAACATGTACAGGCACAGTGATCCTCAGGAAGCCTCACGACCAACATGTACAGGCACAGTGATCCTCAGGAAGCCTCACGACCAACATGTACAGGCACAGTGATCCTCAGGAAGTCTCATGACCAACACGCACAGGCACAATTACAATGATCTAGTGTTCAGGCACTGGCAAAGGTGCCAAGACCATTCAATGGGAAAAAGTGCTTCCTTCAACAAATGGTGCTGGAACCAATTCAATATTGAACAAAGACCTACATTTAATCTCTAAAATGATAAAGCATTTGAAACAAAACAGATATAAATCTTCATGGTGTTGGATTAGGCAATGATTTCTTAGCTATGACACCCAAAATGCCAGCAACCAAAGAAAAAAATGGAAATTTGGACTTCATCAAGTTTTTAAAAAATTGTACTTCATCAGGCGTAGTGGCACATGCCTTTAATCCCAACACTTGGGAGGCAGAGGCAGGCGGATCTCTGTGAGTTCAAGGTCAGCCTGTTCCACATAGTTCCAGGCCAACAGGGGCTACAGGGAGACCCTGTCTCAAAGACGACAAAAAAGAAAAAAAAATTGTGCTTTAAAGAATATTATCAAAAAGTAAAAAGACAACTTGTAGAATGCGAGAGAATATTTGCAAATAACCCATCTGATAAGCATATACTATTCAGAACATATAGAAGAATAGTAAAAAGCTCAGTAGGAAAAAGGTGACTTAAAGACAGGTGAGAATTTTGAATAGATATTTCTCCAAAAAAGATGTACAGATAGCAGGTAAGCATCTGGAAAGATACTCATCATCACTTATCATTAGGAAATTACAAATTCAAATTATAATGAGATTCTATGTTCTGAACCCCAGCACCACCAAATGGGGCAGGGACACTGCACAGAAATTGTCATTCATCATTGGTGGGAAGCCAAGATGATTCAGCCACTTTGAAAGTCAATTTGAGACTTTCTTAAAAAACTGAAGATACTCTTCTCATATAATCCAATTATTCTCCTTGGTATTTACCAAATGAGTTGAAATCTTATGCCCACAAAAAAAGCCTACACACAGATATTTGTATTAGTTTTATTTGTATTTGGTAAAACTTGGAAGCAACCAATAGGTGGATGGATAAACTGATACATCCAGATAAAGCAAGATTATTCAACACTAAAAAGAAATGAATCATCTAACCATGGAAAGACATGAGTGCATATTACTAAATGAAAGAAGCCAACTTGAAGACTTCATACTGTCCAGTTCTAACTACGTGATGAAGACATCTGTAGAGATTGGATAAAGATCAGCGGGTACCAGGGTTAGTACAGGAAGGAGTGATTGAATGCAGAGGACAGAACTGGGGACAGGTGCGCAGAACTATTTTGTGTGACACTGTAATGATGGTTGCAGTTATTCCTTCTTCCTTCCCTCCATCTTTCCACAGTCTCTTAGGTGTGGTGCTGGAGATCAAACTTAGGGCCTTCTGCATACATACTTGGCACAATACATACCTACAGAATGTACAGCACAAAGAGTGAGCCCTAACATGAACTATAGACTTTGGGTGGCAGTGTCATTCCCACGTAGAGTCACTGGTTGTAACTGATATGACTTTGGTGAGGTTATGGATAGCTGGGAAGCCTATGACTCTAGAGTTAGGGATGTCTGAGAACTCTTATACCATCTGCTCAATTCTGCTGTCATGTTAAAATTGCGACCCACACTGAAAAAAAAAAAAGAGAGAGAAATAAGAAATGAGATTCTGCTAGTCTCCAGAACATGCATGAATATGGTTGAGATTTGGAATAGGTCACTAGACTTATTATTATTATTATTTTTAATGACAGTGATATAAGGTGCTTTGTTTGAATTGTTTCCACAGCTGGTATAAAGCAAATTACAGTATGGCTGAGAAATTAGACTGGGGCCGAGGAATGGGCTGTGAGTTTGTCAGGAAGAGCTGCAAGTTCTGGATTGATCAACAGAGACAAAAGTAAGAGTGCTTTTCTTACAGTGTTATTGGTTATACAGATCATTTTTTATTCTGTTCTTTATCTTGACCCTAAAATAACAACTTATTTATAACATGTCCTAAACAACTAAGTTTCAAAATGTATAGAAAATCTTCTATAACTTCTTGTCTATTATAAATAGCTGCAAAATTATTTTGAATCACATACTAGAAGAGTCCACAGTGAGGTGGCTAGATATATGAACATTTCTGCTTAGCTTATAAGTAGTAAAAACATTAAAAAAAAACAATTTTTGGCATATTCTTTCATTCTTACTGTTTCCTCAAGAGACTGCATACATAAACATAGATGCAAATGTTGGTTTAGTATCAGGAAAATGGACTGGGGCTGTAGCTTGGTGGTAGAATGTTCCTGGCTTGTGAAGGCCCTGTGTTCAAGCCCCAGCACTGAAAGAAGTACGTAAGTATTCTTTGGATTAGAGGTTTGGAAAATGGAACGCTTAGGGTCTCCCTGTAGCCCCAACTGGTCTGGAATTCACTGTGTAGAGAGGTTGGCTTGGATCTCACAGAGATCTACCTGCCTCTGCCTCCCCAGTGCTAGGATTAAGGCATGTGCCACCATGCCCAGCTCAAGCTTTTTTAAAATACAGGATATCCAAGTTTGGAATAAATATGCATACATAAAGAGAGTGGGATAGCTTTATTTTTATAATAATAATTTTAAGATAAAATGCTTTCCTATCCCAGCCTCCCTCCCTCCCTCCCTCCCTCCCTCCCTGCCTTTTGAAATCCTCAGATGATTTCAATAAGCAACAAAGATTGGGACCTGCTGTTCAGATGTAATAAAGGAATATGTAATTAACAACGCAGCTTAGAGTTTTCCCTTTTCTATTAACGATTAAATCTGTTTGGTGCCCCTTTGGTTCTCAGTGGTAGGGTCACCTAAGATCAAAATCAGAAGAGGATTCCCTTATTCCCATTCTTTTTTTAAAAAGTTATTTTTATTTTATGCGTGTTTTCCCTGCATGTGTACTAGTGTACCACATTTGTGCGGTGCCCACAAAGACCAGAGGAGTGCTTCAGATCTCCTGGAATAGAAGTTATAGACAGTGGTGAGCTGCCATATAGGTACTGGGAGCTGAACCCCGGTCCTCTGGAAGAGCAGCCAGTGCCATTACCTGCTGAGCCAGCTCTCCAACCCCCACTTGTTGCTATTCTTAAAAAAGAGAATCAAATCCTCTAACTTCTTCCTTGTCCTTTGAATTCTAAGTCTTTGGTCAGTAAGCCTGTTCGTAAAAGGTCAGATAGTAAATATTTTTAGACTTTAAAGGGTTGTTGGTCTTTATGACAACTGCTTTACTTTTGTACAGGATGTACAATGAATGGGGGTATGCTGTGTCAGTAATACTGTACAAAAGCAGGTTGTGGTCTGGAGGGGTCCATTCAGTGGTAGAGTGCCTGAGTTCAGTTCCCCATAAGACATGCACGTAGACATGCATGCTAAAGCCAAGATTTGACCCAAAACTTGAGCTTGCTGACGTCTGTCATAAGCAGTCAGTAACCCATTTGTGAAGCACAAAAGTTGAATTATTTAGATCGAAGCCATTTCTGGCATCATGGGTCCAGTCCAGCTGTGGCCCCGAGACACCTTAGATTCCAGAGCGACCCTTCTAGGCACAGGTGCTGGTGTGACTTCTGCGCTGCTTCACCAGTGGCTTTTCTCCTTTGGTACGGGCAGCTGGTGTGAAAAGGGCTTAGTGGATGGTATGCAAAAGCTGTATTGATTTGAATCTCTGCACACTGAAAATACGATTTTTTAAAATTTTATTATTTTTATTTTATGTGTATGCATGTATTGCCTGCATGTAGGTAAGTGCACCCATGTCATGCAGTGCCCGCAGAGGTCAGAAGGGGCTGTCGGATCCCCTGGAACTGGAGTTAAGGACAGTTGTTAGATACCATGTGGGGGCTGGGATTCTAACATGGGTTTTCTGCAAGAACAACCAGTGTTCTTCACTGCTGAGCCATCTCTCCAGTCCCTCTACCTTATTTTTTTGAGACAGGGGAAAAAAGGGTCTCTCACTGACTCTGGCACTTGCTGTTTAGGCTAGACTGGCTAGCCAGGACGCTCTGGGGATCCACCTGTATCCATCCCCAGTTTCAGCGCTGGGGTTACAAACATATGCTACCATGCTGTTTTTTACATGGATGCTAGGATCCAAGCTCAGGTCCTCATGCGTGTATGGCAGGCACTTTCCCCACTGAACCATCTCCCCAGCCCCTAAAACTTATTTTTAAAAGATTTTATTTTTAATTATAGGTAGGTGTGTGTGTGTGTGTATGTGTGTGTGTGTGTGTGTGTGTGTGTGTGTGTGTGAGAGAGAGAGAGAGAGAGAGAGAGAGAGAGAGAGAGAGAGAGAGTTTTTTGAAGCAGGGTCTCACTATGTAAACCTAGCTAGCTTGGAAGTTGCTATGTAGAACAGACTGGCCTCACACTCCAGAGAGCCTCCCACCTCTGCCTCTTGAATGCTGGGACTAAAGGCATGTGTCACCACACCCAGCTAACTCTTTTTTAAGAGCTGGCCTGAAACTCGCTATGTAGACCAAGCTAGCCTTGAACTTACAGAGATCCACCTGCCTCTGCCTCCTTAGTGCTGGGACTAAAGGTATGCACCACCACACCTAGTTAAAAACTCTTTTTTTAATTAAGGTGAATAAAATACATTCTTTTGTTTTAGAGAAAAATGGGAATGAGATTTGTGGTGTCAAGGAAGTGACTGAGAGGAGCTGAAGAGATGGCTCAGTGGTTAAGCTCTCTTACAGAGGATCTGGGTTCAGTTCCCAGTACCCACATGGTAGCTAACAACTGTCTAACACTAACCATTTCCAGGGAATCCAGTGCCCTCTTTTGGTCTCCCTGGGCATTTCATGCAGGTGGAACACTGATACACATAAAATAAAAATTAATCAAAAATTAAAATAAAACTACCAGGCATGCCTTCCAGCACTTGGGAGGCAGAGGCAGGTGGATCTGTTAGTTCAAGGCCAGCCTGGTCTACAAAATGAGTTCCAGGCCAGCTGGGGATACAGGGAAACCCTGTCTCAAAAAGATACCCCCCCCCAAAAAAAACCAGGCTAACTATAAAAAGACACAAAACATTGGGGCTGGAGAGATGAATCAGCGACTAAGAGCACTAACTGCTCTTGCAGAGGACCCAGGTTCAATTCTCAGCACCCACCTGGTGGTTAACAACCATCTTTAGCTCCAGTTCCAGGGGATCTGACACCATCTTCTGACCTCCATGGGCACTGCACAACACGGGTGCACTTACACACATGCAGGCAATACACTCATACACATAAAATAAAAATAAAATATCTTAGCAGTTTATAACTTTGACTCAGCATCAGTGGTTAGTTCTCATCCACATTGACTGTAGAGTTTTGAATGTGGTAGCAGTGACATAGGCTACCAAGGTATACAGCTTGTTTGGCAAATCCTCATCCTCATTATGTTTTCTGGACAAACGAACACGGATAAGATATGGAACATTCCTTATTCCTTTGGCCCAGACAGCTTTGTTGAGCCTAGTATTAATGTGCACATCTGGAGTTCCCATCTCCTTCATGGTGAATTTCTGGATTTGAGTGCCTGAGGGGCACATTTATTAAAGCCTACTCCATGGATGCGCTTGTGAATGTTGATAGTGTATTCTCAGGTCACCACCTCATTGATGGCAGAACAACCCATCTTCTCACCACCCTTTGCAGGAGCCATTCCACCAGGCCCAAGTTGGAAAGGGAAATAAAATATATATATTTTAAAGACACAAAGCAGCTGGGTGTGGTAGCACATGCCTTTAATCCCAGTACTTGGGAGGCCAGCCTGGTCTACATAGTAAATTCCAGGACAGCTGGGCTACAGGGAGACCTTGTCTCAGGAAAAAAAAAGGCACAAAGCAGACTAAATAACTGGCAAAAATGGAGGAAAGAGTAAATAGAATTTTATCTAATAAAGTATAATAATATTCAAATGTATTTAGCATTAATCTTCTACATCATATGGTAAACATTTCCCTTTACCCTTGAAAAAATTCTTGATAACGTGATTAAGAAATTTAAACTACTAAAAGATATTGAGATTATAATTAAAAAGGCAGTCTCTATAAAGCACTTTTAAAAATCTTTAAAATTTGTAACCAAGATGTAGAGATCACCATCTAACACATTATTGACATAAAAAATAACGTTCTACTAATTTATTTGTCTCTCATTACAGGAAGCAGCCCCTGAGTCCTTACTGTGACACGCTCAGGCGTAATCCACTGCAGTTAACTTGCAGGCAGGACCAGAAAGCCGTTGCTGTGTGCAATCTGCAGAAGTTTCCTAAACCCTTACCACCACAGTACCAGGTAACACTTGTTTTGAGCACAGTTTTAGGAGTCAGCTTTTTAAAAAGTGGTTTCTGCTGGGCGTGGTGGCGCATGCCTTTAATCCCAGCAGAGGCCGGTGGATCTCTGTGAGTTCAAGGCCTGCCTGGTCTACATAGTGAGTTCCAGGACAGCTGGAGCTACAGGGAGACCCTGTCTCAAAAAAACCAAAAAAAAAAGTGATTTCCATTTTGATTTTAAAAAATAAATCTCTTACATTTTTTATTGTGTAAGTTCCTGTGTATCTCCCATGTTTAAAAAAAGCCTGAAGACCCCTTTATTTCTTTAAAATGTTTTTATGTGTATTAGTTTTTGCCTGCATGTATGTAAGTGTACCATGTACTGCATGTCTACAGAAGCCAGAAGAGGGCATCAGATCCCCAGAACTGGAGTTATGGATGCTTATTAGCCTCCATGTGGGTGCTGGGAATCAAACCTGGGTCCTCTGTAAGAGAAGCTAGTGCTCTTAATCATGGAGCCATCTCTCCAGCCCCACCTTCATTCCTTTAAAGCTAATGTGCTAGTCTATAGCAATTGCATAATACTCAGCAGTGCCTTGTAATAATAGCAGGAAGCATTTAGAATAGTTGTGTTGATCTGTTTCTCTTTGTGTATGTTCCTTTCACAAGCACATGCGTTTGGATGCCTGCCTTGCTTGTTCGTTCACCACCTTACTTTTTGAGACAGGGTCTCTCACTGAAACTGGAGCTTGCTGATTAGGCTGACTGTAGGCAAGCCTCAGTTCCCAAAGCAGTAGGATTATAGGTGTGCCTGTGCCCAGCTTTTGACGTGTGTACCTGGGATCAAACGCAGGTCCTCATACATGCACACAAGTACTTTACCAGCTAAGCATCTACCCAGCTCCCTCACTCCTTCTTGATATAGCTATTTTCTAATTACTGCCAAAGTGTCCCTCTTTAAATTCCTCTAATTTATTAAAAAGCAAAGATCTTCAAGCCGGGCGTGGTGGCACATGCCTTTAATTCCAGCACTCGGGAGGCAGAGGCAGAGGCAGGTAGATCTTGTATGTGTATGTGTGTATTTGGTCTACATAGTGAATTCCAGGACAGTTGGAGCTACAGGGGAGACCCTGTCTCCAAAAAAAAAACCAAAGATCTTCAAAGAAAATAATTTAGTCTAATTCAGCTAATTAGAAGACTTGGAAGCTCTACTTTTAAAAAGTTTGATTCATTAAAAAAAAAAAAAAAAGTTTGATTCATGAGCCCTAAAAGATGACAAAAGCTGGGCATGGTAGCAGATGCCTTCAGTCCCAGCACTCAGGAGACAGAGACAGGTGGATCTCTGAGATTGAGGCTAGCCTGGTCTACATATCGAGTTCATGGCCAGCTGGAGTTACAGGGAGACCCTGTCTCAAAAACTAAACTAAATTAAAAGATGAACAAAATAGTCCCACATGTCCAGTCTGAATCTCTAATCGATCTTTAAGTTTCCTATTACAGGGCCAGGTGCAGTGGCTCCCGCCTTTAACTGCAGCACTCAGGAGTAGGAGTAGGAGGATCATGGTGAGGTTGAAGCTAGCTTGTCTACATAGCAAGTTCTAGGCCTGCCAAGGCTACACTGCAAGATACTTTCACAAACAACAGCAAAAGTTTCCTATTCTCATTCTCTAAAAAGCCTCAGCTCTACCTGCTGTGTACCAGAAGCCAGCTTAAAATGATAGCTGCTAAATTTTGAGTTTCCTACATGTATTTGACCTCACTGAGTACATCTAACACCATCAGATAGCAAAGGTATATGCAAGAATAGTATTGTAACTTATATGTTAGCATAAAATGTGAATTCTCTTTGCTTTTTTGGGGACGGGGAGGGGAACAGGATCTCATGTAGCCCAGGCTGACCTAACTCAATGCCACCATGCCTGGCAAATTTTAAAATCTTTAAAACTTATCTGGTACTTTCTTCCTTTGGTATTCAAAGTATTTTATATAATCTTACTTATTTTCTCAATTTTAACTTTTTTTGAAATTGTTGAAACCACCTATTAAATCTCTTAAAACCACTTACACATTTTTTAAAATTTATTTTCATTTTATGTGTATGTGTTTTGCTTGCATGGCCAGAAGAGGGTGTCAGATCCCCTGGAAGTGGTGTTAATGGATGGTTGTTAGCTGCCATATGGGTGCTGGGAACTGAACTCAGTCAAGTCTCTGCAAGAACAACCAGTACTCTTAACAGATGAGCCATCACTCCAGCCTCTCTCTATTCATTTTGAAACAGAGACTTACTATATTGCTTAGACTGGTCTCAAACTTCTAGACCCTAGTGATCATCTTGCCTCTGCCTCCCCAGTTACATTGTTTCTTGTGTTTATGTTTAAATATCTTATTTTATCCATTAGTTTTGTTATTGCAACTCTTTTTTTGTTTTTTGAGACCAGGTCTCTGTGTAGCTGTGACTGGCTTGGAACTCACTGTGCAGACCAGGCTGGCCTCAAACTCAGAGATCTTTCTGACTCTGCCTCCCAAGCTCTGGGTTTAAAGACGTGTGCCACCATGCCCAGCTGTTATTGCAACTCTAGCTCTTTTGCTCAGTTTAATTCTACTTTATCCTTTTAAAACATAAATCAAATTTGTCATCTTAATACATAGCTTAATTTACCTTACTTCTCCTGCTTATTTCTAAAATTACAGTAACCTGAAGATACCACACAAGTAATATGCCTTTGGGTTTTTAAATTTTTTATTTTATGTGTATGAGTGTATTGCTTGCATGTGTGTTAGCACACCTGTGTTGTGCAATGCCCAAGGAGGTCAGAAGAGAGTGTTGGATTCCCCTGGAACTGGAATCATGGGTGGGTTTTAGCTGCCTTGTGGGAGCTGGGAACCAAACCCTGGTACTCTGGAAGAGCAGCTAGTGCTCTTAACTGCTGAGCCATCTTGCAGGCCCCTATGGGTTTTGTTTTGATTATACAAAATGATTCTTCCTCTTCTCCCCATTTTTTTCAGTACTTCGATGAACTCAGTGGAATACCTGCAGAGGATCTGCCTTACTATGGTGGGTCAGTAGAAATTGCTGACTACTGCCCTTTCAGGCAGGAGTTCAGCTGGCATTTAAGTGGTGAATACCAGCGCAGCTCAGACTGTAGGATCCTGGAAAACCAACCAGGTTAGTAGTCCAGTGAAATGAAGTGTTCTCTACATAATAAGATTTTACATCAGCAGTGTGAAATAGCTGTAAGGGCATAGTCTCTGGAGCCAGATGACACTGAGTTTGTGTTTAATCTTCTGCTGTCTATCCGTAGGAAACTTCTTAAATTTTGGCTGCCTGATACTTAATTTGCCTCCAGGGAGTTTATTAAAATGCTTTAGGGAACATGTTTTTTCATTTCTTGGGAAGTGTGCGTTTTATTTAATTATTTATTTAATATTTTATTATTTTTATGTATGTGTATGTGTGTATTGCCTGCATGTAGGTAAGTGCACCTGTGGAGGACAGATGAGTCTGTCAGATCCCTTGGAACTGGAGTTATGGGCAGTTGTTAGCTGCCATGTGGGTGCTGGGATTCAAACCTGGGTTTTCTGTAATAACTTTAAGTCAGTGTTCTTAACTTCGTAGCCATCTCTCCAGCCCCCGCATTTTATATAATTTAGAAGTGACATGGCATTCTTCAGATCCCCAAATAATACTGATGTCCCATGGCCAGAAAAAGCTATCATTTCTTTTAGTATATATAAATGAGCAAGATATTGAGTAACACACAGTTCGGAAATTGGGTGTTAGATAATAGTTATAGTTCATATTAACCAGCTTTCTAAACAGAAATATTCTCACCTCTGATTTGTTGACAAAAAGCAATAATTAGCTGGGTGTGGTGGTTCAGGCTTATGATCACAGCACTTGGGTGGCTGAGGTGGGAGGATCACAGAGTTCAGATCCACCATTAGGCAACAGAGTGAGGCCCTGTCTCAGAAAGCAAGGGACTGAAAAGCAGTAATTAGTTTTTCTCTTTTTTTCCAAAACCTTTAACTTGGTCTTCCCCCTTCCCATCTTTTCACCTACTCTGTTATAAACTGGGTTATTTAAATTGTACATTTCCATGCTGTTTTGCCGTTCTTTTTCTTCCTCTTTTTTAGGATGATCTATGAATATACTTTAAGAGGGCAGCAAGCTTAGCAGTAACCAGACTACAGCACACAGTTGCCACTTACTCTTAAACCTGGCATATTTTCTGAATTTCTTCCGTCATTTTCCCATCATTTTCCCATTCCAACCCATTTTAGACATGTCCTAAAGACTAATGATAGAGCTACTCAGCAGTTCATGTTAGAGTGAAAGAAGCGTACAGCCGACACCCCCCCCCATCTGCAGAGAGGTCACATGACTGAGAAAAGGGCTCAGCAACTTTTATATATGCAAAGGGCATGATGTATTTTAGGCTTATAAATATTTGAGCCTGTAAAGGTCATGCTGTGCCCTCTACATTGTGAAAAAGTTATAGACAATATGTAAATTAATTGGAGTGTCCAGGGTTAGCCTGAGGGTTGTATTTTGTTCAGCTGTGTTTTGCACAGTAATCATTACTCTTTTCAAAGACTGAAATTCATAAATAAGTTTGGTTTTGCTGTTTTATGTTTCCTTTCTAATCTTATAAAATAAAGATTTTTCAAAGCTTAGTATTTCAAAGTATTCAAAAGAAAGTACTTATGTTTATACTAGTTCTAAATTGGGCTACTTGAACTCTGTTTTAAAAAAAAAACATGAAAATGGGGCTGGAGAGATGGCTCAGTGGTTAAGAACACCGGTTGTTCTTGCAGAAGACCCAGGTTCAAATCCCAGCACCCACAAGGCAGCAAACAACTGTCCTAACTCCAGTCCCAGGGGATCCGACAGCCTCTTCTGTCCGCTGCAGACATTGCACTACACAGGTGCACCTACCTACCTGCAGGCCTAACACTCATACACATAAAATAATAATAATAATTTTTAAAAAACCCAAAAACTTGAAATTGGGGCTAGAGATGGCTCAGCAGTTAAGAGCCCTTGCTGCTCTTCTTACATCTGGCTGTAACTCCAGTTCCAGGGGATCTGATGCTCCCTTCTGGCCTCTATAGGCACTATACAACAATGAGTATGCTTATATACAGGCAAAATACTCATACACATTAAAAATAAATATTGTTTTTTTAAAAAAAACGTACAATTTAAGCTGGAGAGATGGCTCAGTGGTTAAGAGCACCTATTGCTCTTGGAGAGAACCCAGGTTCATTTCTCAGCATCCTTATCACGTGGCTCACAACCTCCTTTAACTCCAGTTCCAGGGTATCTAATGTTATCCTTTGGCCTCTGTGGGCACCTGTATGCATGTGGTGCAGAAATGTTCTTTTTTTTAATTAATTAATTTAGTTATTTATTTTGGTCTTTTTGAAGCAGGGTCTCCCTGTAGCCCCAGCTGGCCTTGAACTCACAGAGATCCACCTGCCTCTGCCTCCCAAGTGCTGGGACTACAGGCATGCGCCACCACACCTGGCTTATTTATTTTTATTTTTATGTGTATGAGTGTATTGCCTGCAGGTATGTGAGTGCACCCGTGTCGTGCATTGCTGCAGAGGTCAGAAGAGGGTTTTGGATTCCCCTGAAACTGGAGTTAAGGATAGTTTGTAGCTGCCATGTGGGTGCTGGGAATCGAACCCGGGTCCTCTGCAACAGCAGTCAGTGCTCTTAACCACTAAGCCATCTCTCTAGACCCACTTTTTTTGGGTGGGGCTGGAGTGATGGCTCAGCAGTTAAAAATACTGACTGCTCTTGTGGAGGATATGGGTTTGGTGGCCAACAACTGCCTGCAAGCAACTCCAGTTCCAGGGGAACCGACACCCTCCTCTGACTTCCATGGGCATTGGACAATGTGGGTGCACTCACATACATATAGGTAATACACTCAATAAAATAAAAATCATAAAATGTTTTTAAAAATATTTTTTTATTTCATGTGTATGAGTGTTTTGCCAGCATGTATGTGCAACATGTGCCTGTAGAATCAGCAGAGTCCAGAAGAGCATCAGATCCCCCAGAACTGGAGCTACAGACAGCTGCTAGCTTCCATGTGGGTGCTGGGAATCAAACCCAGATCCTCTGCAAGAGTTCTTAACCCCTGAGCCATCTCTCCAGCTCCTAAATTAAAAAAAAAATATATTATGAGTGTTTTGCCTGCATGTATGAGGGTGCACCCATGTCGTTCAATGCCTGTAAAGGCCAGAAGATGGAGTTGGAGTCCCTGAAACTGGAGTTATATATGGTTGTTGGTCACCATGTGGGTGCTGAGAACTGAACCCAGGTTCTCTGCAAGAGCAGCCAGTGCTCTCAATCACTGAGCCAGCAGAAATATTCTTGCACAAATAAAGTGTAAAGCAAAATTAAATAAATAAATAAAAATTAAAAAAAATCGGTGTGGTGGCACATGCCTTTAATTCCAGCACTCAGAAGAGGCGAAGGCAGGCAACTCTCAGTGAGATCAAGGACAACCTGGTCTATATAGCAAGAACTCTAGCTGGAACTACAGAAAGACTTTGAATAAATTTAAATTAATTAATTAATTAATTCATCAATAAACGAAATGTTTTGGGGGTTTTTTTGTTTTTGTTTTTGTTTTTTGTCTTTTTTGAGACAGGGTCTCCCTGTAGCCCCAGCTGTCCTAGAACTCACTACGTAGACCAGGCTGGCCTTGAACTCACAGAGATCCGCATGCCTCTGCCTCCCGAGTGCTGGGATTAAAGGCGTGTGCCACCATGCCCGGCAAAATAAATGTTTTTTAAAAATGAAAGAAAGGAAAAGAAACTTAGGCAAGCAAGACAGAGAACTGGGGTAAAGGCACTAGCTGTGCAAACTTGGTGACCTGAGTTTAATCCTTGGAACTCCCATAAAAGTGGAAGTAGAAGCCCGAATCCACAGAGTTGTCCTCTGACCTCTACATATGCACCATGGCACATGTGCCCAGCTACCTGCCCCCCCCACAATGATAATTTTAAATTTTTAAAATAAAAACAAAATGGTGATATGGGATGGCTTAGTACATAAAGGTGCATCCCAGAACCCATGTGGTGGAAGGAGAAAACTGACTCACACACGTTATTACTAGGGTTTAAGAAGTTTGTCCCTTTGCCTCAGTACTTAAAGGTCATTCACTGCACCCCACACATCTGCAGGTGTGTGCTTGGTTTGAGAATAGATTAGAATATGAGTTTTCAGGAGGTGGCACAAATTAGAGATATGAGAAAATTTGTCAACAATTGTAGCACACCTGTAATCTCAGCACTTGAGAGGTAGAGGCAGAAAGATCACAAGTTCTAGACCTAGCCTGAGCTACATAGCAAGATGCGATCTCCAAAAAGCAAGCAGCAAAACACTACAACAGCTAAAAAATTGGCGTATAAATCATTTGGCCTTCTCCTGTCCTGAGTCTTGTGGAAGTCACCACCACTGAGGGTGTTTCTTCTTTTGGTTTCTGATCATCCCGTGTCATTGACCCAGATACCTGGAACACAGTCTTATACTCTTGTTTCCGGTTGTAGAGTTTTCTCCTCCTGGTTCCCTTATCGAGAACCCAGTGAGTTTGGAGTCTTGTTTTTCTTCTTTAAACTTGAAATTTTCCATTCAACGAGTTTGATTTTTTTTTTTTTGAGACATTCACACTCTTTAGATAGCCCAGGCTGGCCTCTGATACGCAGCAATCCTCCAGCTTCAACCTTCCAAGCTGGAGTATGGGTATGAGCCACACACCTGTCTCAACAAGTTAGACTTTTAAACCAACTTTTATATTGCTGTTATTGAAGGCAGCAAAAGTTTGTGGTCTTCCTGCCTTTGCCTCCCCAAAGCAACTTTTAATTATAGAAACAAAATGCTTAATTTCTTGTTCTTTGCACTGAAAACCAACTTTTGATGTTCTTCTTTTGGTTTGCTTTAGATGTTTTTAAAAACTATGCTGCAGAAAAGTATGGACCTCACTCAGTTTGTCTAGTTCAGAAATCAGCATTTGTCATGGAAAAGTGTGAGCGAAAGCTGAGCTACCCCGACTGGGGGAGCGGCTGTTACCAGGTAAGCCACATGTGCAACAGCTATACCAGGGGTGTGGGTTAGTCTGTTTTATGCTTGAATTCTACTTTATATATTTTAGATCGATAATTTATTGTTCATTACTTTTAGCTTATTTTTGGTTATATGATTTTTAGTTTAAGTGCTGTGGTTTCTGAAAACTTTTTTTTTCTTTTTGTCTTTTTGAGACAGGGTTTCTCTGTAGCCCCAGCTGTCCTGGAACTCACTGTGTAGACCAGGCTGGCCTTGAACTCACAGAGATCCACCTGCCTCTTCCTCCCCAGTGCTGGGACTAAAGGTGTACCCAGCCTGAAAAACATTGTTAATTCTTTGACAGACATTGCTTTTTACCATTTAGATAAAACATATATGTAATTACTATATATTAGTGAGTTCTATAAATTCACTTCTGGGCATAAATCTTAAGGAAATGGTGGTAAATAACTTTGTTCTTGAACAAGTATTACTTTGTAATGGAATATTGTTTTATGTCAAAAGGTCTGTGGAGGGAGAAGGGGATGTAGCTCAGTGGTAGAGTGTTTACCGGGCATGTACAAGTCCCTGGGTTTGATCACAGCACCATTAAAAATAATTATAATAAAGGAAAATTGCATAGAGGTGTATGCGTGTAATCCCAGTATTCAGGAGGCAGAGGCAGGAGAACCCCTTCGAGGTCAAGGCCAGCCTGATTTGCATAGCAAGTCAGGCCAGCCTGTCTCCAATACAAAACAAAAAACAAAGAAAGGGGAGGGAGGGTGAGAGGGAAAGAAGAGGGAGGAAGGAGGAAGGCAAAGGGAAAGAAGAAGTCAACTGCTGACTAATAATAGATTTTTAGCTGGAGGGGTAGCTCATTGGTAAAGCATTTGCCTAATATGTATAAGGCCATGGGTTCAATCCTCAGCACCAGAAAAAGAGCAAACAACCTCTGAAATTAGATTTTGTTATTGTCTGTGGTGTTGGGGATCAAATTTACAGCTTTGTGTATTCTAGGCAAGCACCCTACCACTGAGCCACATCCTCAGGCCCACAACTAAAATCAGAAGGAGACAAGCTGTTTCTTAATTAGCTCATTTACAGATACTGCATGACTATGTCACCTTACTAAGAATTGATCAAGGCCAGGCATGGTCACATACACCTTTACTCCTAGTACTTGGGAGGCAGAGGCAGGTGGATCTCTATGAGTCCCAGGCCAGTTGGGGCTACAGGGAGACCCTGTCTCAAAAATAGACACGCCCCCCCACCCCCAAATTGATCAAGATCTAGGAATTCTATAAACTAGAATTCTATAAACCATCCAAGTTAAAGAATTTTCCCTACCCTATGCCACAGAGGTCAGGGAAGAATGTGATCCTGAGAATTGAAGTATGAGCATTCCCTGTGCTGTTTTAGCTTCGAGAATTAAATGGAATTTGTTGGTTGGTAATTGATTGATTGATTGGTGTATTCCTGTGCCTGAGTTTGTGCATGCATGAAGGTCAGCCTCCAGTGTTGTTCCTCAGGAGCTGTCCACCTTGTTTTGTTAGACAAGTCTCTCTTGTGGGACCTGGGGCTCTCTGATTAGGCTAGGCTGGCTCCAGCCAGTGATGAGTCCCAGGAGTCTCCACCTCCTCAGTGTTAGAATTACAAGTGACTGGCTCTTTTTTTAAATATTTTATTTATCATTTTTATTTTATGTGTATGTGTGTATTGCCTGCATGTAGGTAAGTGCACCTGTGTTGTGCAGTGCCCACAGAGGACAGAAGAGGCTGTTGGATCCCCTGGACCCAGAGTTATGGACAGTTGTTAGCCACCATGTGGGTGCTGGGATTCACACCCAGGTCTTCTGCAAGAAAAGCCAGTACTCTTAACCACTGAGCCATCTCTCCAGCCTCTTTTTTTTTTAAGAGCAATTTTATTATTTAGGAAAACTGCAGTGCACTGTTTCTTTTTTAACCCTAAAAGCAGAAGCAGGTAATCAACAAGCTTCTTACTCAAAGCAGCTGCCAAAAATAGTTGAAAACAACACTCAAGGAGAATTAAATCATAATGAAATTGCAAAACCATGTAAAAAAATCCACATAATCATTGTGCTTAAACAGTGGTTTCAACATTTGGTTGTGAATCTGGGATTTGAGTGTGTATTTTCTTAAAGATTTTATTTTATGTGTATGAATGTTCTGCCTACTCTGTGTAAGTACGCATGTGTGTTCCTATGTGTATGAGTGTTCTGCCTTCCCTCTGTAAGTGCACCTGTGTGTTCCTTGTGCTCCCAGAGGCCAGAAGAGGGTGACAGAGCCCCTGGAACTGTAGTTACGTACCTGTGTGAGGCATCATGTGGGTGCTGGGAACCAAACCCAGTCCTCTGAAAGTGCTCTTAACTGAGCCATTCCCTTCAGCCCTGAGTCTGGATTTTTTTGAGACAGTGTTTCATGTAGTCTAGGTTGGCCTTAAAACTCACAGACATCTGCTTGCCCTTGCCCCTGAGTGCTGGGATTAAAGGCAAGTACCTTTAAGGAATTAAAAAAATTTATTTTTTTTAATTTGGCAGGGTGTATTGGCACAAGCCTTGAATCCCGGCAAAGGGAGTTGGCTTTCTGTGAGATCCAGGTTCAGGCCAGCTGGGGCTACAGGAGACCTTATCTCAAAACACCAAAAACAATTTTTTTTTTTAGCACTTGTATTGAATTTTTCTGATTTCCATACAATATAATTTGACATCATATCCCCTCTCCCATCCACACCTCCCCACATTACCCCCAACACACGCTCATTTCAGTGTACTTTCCCTGTATAATAAGGCCTATAGCATCTATCTTGAATCCCCATATGTTCTCCAGTGTGGATCCATCCACTGGAGCTTGCATAGGATTTGTGCATGCTGTCACCATTGCTGTGAGTTCACATGAGTAACCAACCAGCTGTCTGGAGAACTTCGCTCCCCTCCCCCTCCATAGCCATCCATCACCTCTGGCTCTTACAATCTTCCCACCTCTTCCTCTGCTGTGATCCCCGAGCCTTGTGCTCCAGAAGCCTGACAGGGGCGTTCCACTCAGAGATAAGCTCTCTGCAGCCCCCTCTTCCGCGCACATTAGAATGCCATTAAGTTTCTGTGCCAATCATCGATCTGCTGCATAAGGAAATTGCTCTGGTGAGAGCTGAAAGATGCATTAATCTTCAACAGTGAGTGAGCACCTGATCCAGCAGTCTCTTCCAATCATCCCTCTTGGGACTGGGAGTCAATATTATTATGGGGGTACCACAGTCACATCTCACAGGAGGGGACCATGACCCCAGCTTACAGGAGGGGAACTACAGCTCAGCTCACAGGAGGGGACCACAGCTCCAGCTCACAGGAGGGGACCACAGCTCCAGCTCATAGGAGGGGAACCACAGCTCCAGCTCACAAGAGGGGACCACAGCTCTAGCTCGCAGGAGGTGACCACGATTCCAGCTCACAGGAGGTGACCACGGCTCTGGTTCTCTTTCTTTCCTTAGGCTCTCAGGCTCTCAGAGTTTTTCTCTGACTGTATTTAAGTACACTCATGTCCTGCAGTGCCTGCGGAGGTCACAAGAGGGCGTTGGAGCCCCTAGAACAAAGCTACTACACTTGACTGGCTCCTCTGCTTAAAATCCCCAGACACAATCCTCAGGATAGAGGGGGCAGGCCCAAGATGGCCAGGTGCCTGGGCTCTGCTCCTGCCCGCAGAGCAGATCCCCAATCATTTCTCGGCTGCTGAGTGCCATTGCGCTCCAGACCCTCACGTTGGCCCCACCAGTGGGAGGTCACCATGGCCACACTGGAGAAGCTCATGAAGGCCTTGTAGGAATTCTGACTTGAGGTTCCCTCCGTCCATAGCAGCAGTCAAATGCTTGTGCATTTTGGTCATTTGGAGCCTCAGGGACTATCTACCTGCCACAGGGGCTTCCCCTTCAAATGCTGCTCTAGCTTCAACTCCCTGAGGAGAAGTTCAGCCATATCATCTCATTGGCCATGAGCTTGGTTGACAGATGCTTGAAGAACTCGGGGGTCTGCTCCCGGTCACACTTGGACTAGCAGTGCTCTATCTCCATCTCCAGCCAAGGACCGGCCTTCCTGGTTGCCATTGCCTGGCTCAGAGCCCAAAAACAATTCTTTTCATTTATGTTTTTTTATGTAGTGAGTGTTTTGCCTACACGTATGTAAGTGCACCCTATTCATGCTGTGTCTGAGGAAGTGAGTAGAGGGCATTGAATCCCCTGGAACTGGAGTTATAGACAGTTGTTAGCCTTCATGTGGGTGCTAGACTCAAACTCAGGTCCTCTACAAGAGCAGTATGTACTCTTAACCACTGAGCCATCTCTCCCAACTCTAAATTTTTTAAAAATTTATTCTTTGACGGTTTCCTGCATACAATGTATCTTGGTCTCATCCACCTCTAACTGCCACTTCCACTGCCCCTGGATCTCCCCAATAGGTCCCTTACCCACTTTCGTGGTCTCTCTCTCTCTGTGTCTCTGTCTTCTCTCTTTTTTAATAACTCACTGAGGCCAGTTAATGCTGCTTGCAGAGCAAGGGCAACCTACTAGTAGCCATGTCCTAGAAGAAAAATGATTCCACTCCTCACGCCACTCCTCCCTCCAGAAGCCATCAATTGCTCCCCAGCTAAGGTGGAGCTTCATGGTCCCTTCCCCCGTCCATGCTAGAATGTTGGCTGGCTTGATCTTGTGCAGGTCACCATAGCTGCTGTGAGTTCCTAAGTTCAATGACCACATTATGTCCAGAAGATAGAATTTCACAGCACTCTTCTCTGTCCTCCAGCTCTTACATTCTTCCTACCTCCTTTCCCATGATGCTCTCTGAGTCTTGAGGGTAGGTTATTCAAATGCCTTATTTTTTTCTTTCTTTTCTATTTTTTAAATTTGTTTACAAAATAGTGGGTTTCCATAGGCCTTTTCATGCATCCTTAGGATTTGTTAACTCTCCCACAACCCCCTAGCAAGCCCCCACCTTCTTTCATATCACAATAATGTTCTATTATCCT